TATGCGCGTCGAGCATGGCAGGACTCTCGTTGCCGGTGAGGTAGCCGAGTTCGACAGAGAGGTCGCGGAGAGAGGCGCGGTCGCCTTTGGAGGCTGCGATCAGGATTTTGATGTAGGGCTCGACGAACTTGTCGGGGTAGTCCCGCGAAGCACCGAAGTCTAGCAGTTCGATCTTTTGGGCGGAGGCGTTGTAGAGGAAGTTTGTCCAGTTGGGGTCGGTTTGCATGAACTTGAACTCTACAATCTCGCGGAGACAGAGACGGAGGATTTGCGTGCCGATCCAGTCGCGTTGCTCCTGGGTTAGGGTCTTGAGTTTGGTGACGCCGACACCGTGCATGAGCTCTGCGGTCAGGACGGTGGGGCCACAGGCTTCGGGGAAGACTTTAGGGACGGTGAAGACATCAGTGTCGTCTTGAAGGAGGTTGCGGAACCGAGTTTGGCATTCGGCTTCGCGCGTATAATCGCACTCCCAGCCCAATTCTGTTCGGGCGTTGGCGATGGTCTTGTCTAGGTACAGACCCTTCGGCAGGAGGCGAGATGCTGTTAGGAGGATGGAGAGGTTGCTTAGGTCAGAGTCGATGGAGTTGGCAACACCAGGGTATTGCACTTTCACAGCTACTGCCTGGCCATTAGACTTGAGTACTGCTTTGTGTACCTGCCCAATCGACGCCGCTGCGATAGGCACATCTTCGAATGATTCAAAAAGATCACGCCAGTCGTCCCCAAGGTTGCTGCTCAAGACTTTGTTCCGTTGTGAGGCCGGCATGTAGTCCGCGCTATCCTGCACCCGTTGCAAGACATCATGGATCGCTGGTGGCAGCATCTTGATGTCTTGGAAGCTGATCATTTGCCCAAGCTTGAGAGCGGCACCTCGCATGCGGGAGAGCTTTGCGACCAGTATTTCCATGTTCCCAGGGCTCAGCATCAGCGAGCCACCAGTTGACGCAGCACTGCCGGTCGCTCGTCGAAGACCTTCACCGACAGCTCCGAGTGCCATGCTTGTGCCTAAACCAGCGTACTGCCATATGCGACCGAACCGTGACGAAGGGACTCTCGACTCTCGCAGCGCGTATGATGACTTCTCTGGCTGGGTCGCTACCTCATTTGGTGACTATTGTACAACTGTCAGCAAATCAGCAGGCTTCAGGCTAGTAGATGGATTTGGCATACCTCAGACGCAGCCGCGTATGACTGCACGTCCTGGGCAAGTTGAGATGCCAGGGCTTCCATCTCCTTTGAAGAAGTCGCGGATTGAGCTTCCTGAACCGGTTTTGGCTGCGTTGACGGTGAACTTTGTTGCTGTACCGAGGGCAAAGGTCTATCGTCGAGTGGATGCCTGCCGGTGGTCTTTGCTACGGGTCTGTCATCCAACGGATGTCTACCACTGGTCTTCCGCTCTGCATAGTCCTTTCTCGAGAAAGGATCGCTTCCTAGCATCCTAGCAACTTTTCTCGAATGGAAGACATCCGTGTTGATGCCCTCTGGGAGGTCTTCCTCCACTTGCCCCTGCGCCGGCTTGGGTACATTGTAGAACACATCCTGATTCATTTGCTTGTCCGACACGTGTTCGTCGCTTTGCTGTTTTGTTCCTGAACTCCGAGGTATCTGTGATTGAGGTTGTGACGAGGTTGGTGATTGCGATTCGACCGATCGTGTGTAGAAGACGTCTCTGTCATGACCCTTCTGCAGCTTCTCTGCCTGTGGAGATATCGGCGTCTGTTGAGGGTCGTTCGCGTGTGCGGGGATCGTTTCAGCGGTTTGTGTAGAGGCACCTCTGGGGTTGCCGGGAAGCGGTATTGTGGTCTCTGTAGACTCTACCGGTTTGATGCCATCGTCCTTGTGACGAACTTGTTCACCCTGGTCCTCAGCCAGAGGTCCCTTCGGCGCCTCATGTACTGGCCTCTCGGAGAACACATCCTTGCCCTTTTCCTCTTGTTCGAGTGTCAACCCTTGGCTTGGTATGGTGCCGTCTGGTAGCGGGGATCTGGGGGCCTTCTTCTGCTCGACCTCCAATTCTTCTGTGGGCGGAGGCGCCTGAGAGCTGTTTTGACCTGATCGATCGTAGTGATGATCCTGCTCTACACCCTCTCTAGTACCCTCTACGGGTGTATCCCTCTTCACGGTGTCTCTCCTAGGTATATCCGCCTGCTGTGTCCATTGTGTGTTCGTCGCCCGCTCGGCTGCGGCTTTTGCGTACGAGGGAGCTTCTTCGCTGAAGCGTTGTGAGAGGGCGATGGCAGCGGTCGCCGTGAGGGTGACGCGGTCCGTCTGGTTCTTGACGGCTTTGGCTAGCGACGAGGTTTTGTTGTAAGCGTCCCACTGATTAGAGCGAAGCGCGACGTGCTTCTGTGCGACAGATTTGGAGGCATTGAAGAGCTTGGCGGCATCGACAAGCCGTCTACCTGCCATTTCGATCGGATGAAAGGGCTACCGGGAGGCGCGACACATGACGAGGGGTGCTGTAGCTTTGCGTAAGCTGCGGAGGCTCTCGTGAGGCCATCGAAAGTTATGCGCGTCATAGCCGGATAGGGTTAGGCTGGAGTGCGGAACTGGCGCGATTGGCTGGCCATCATAGCCGACAAGGGTCTTGATCGTCTAGTGGGGCAGCCAGCTGCATCTATACCCTCAACAGCGCGACATTTGATTTACTGTACTCTCCATATCGGTCGCCGCATTCGGTCCCTTTTTACTTTTGGTAACCAATCAGACTTTGTAGCCATCTGTCACGACAAATCAACCAGTGCTTGGTGCCTGAGTAGCGTCAGTCGGTACTTCCCAGCCGCACGGGAAGATAGCAACTATTCAGCCTATCAGTCTCGACTGATTCAGGCACAAGATACAAGTGTTCTCTTAGCAGCCTTCCAAAAACCCAAGACAGCCTCACAATTTCACGCCGAAGTCCTGGACGTACCCAGAATCCGTTCATTCAAACAAACCCAAGAGAGGTGCAAACATGAAAGTCGCCTGTCTCCAATTCGCCCCAGAAGTCGGGCGCGTCCCAGAAAACATCCAAAGAGCGGAACGCATACTCCAGTCCACCGCCATTCCTCACGACCTAGCCTGGCTCGTCCTACCCGAACTCGCTTTCTCTGGGTACAACTTCCAATCACTGGAGGAGATCCAGCCCTTCCTCGAGCCAACCACATCCGGCATATCAACCCAATGGGCGCAGAAAGTAGCAAAACACTACAACTGCCACGTCACAGTCGGTTACCCAGAGATCACCGCCCCAGCCACCAATCCCGGGGACAGTCAAACGCAGTACAACTCCACCGTCACTGTATCGCCAGATGGAGAAATACTAAACAACTACCGGAAATCCTTCCTTTACTACACAGACGAGACGTGGGCATCTGAAGGACCGGGTTCAAAGTCGCATAAACTATCCAATCCCTCATCGCCAGATTCTCCCTTCTATGCCGGCCAACTCGGTACTTTGGGAAAGGTTACCATGGGGATATGTATGGATATAAATCCTTACAAGTTTGTCTCCCCATGGGCGGATTACGAGTTCTCTACTCTCGCTCTAACATCACAATCCCCGATTGTTTGCATAAGCATGGCTTGGCTGTGCCATCTCACGCCTACGGAACTTGTACAGGAGCCATCGCAGCCGGATATAGCGACGGTAGCGTACTGGGTTGAGCGCTTCCAACCGCTTGTTGAGGCCAAGAGTGACAAACCCGTCTATATCATCATGGCGAATCGGTGTGGAATGGAAAAGGGCGTCTGCTATGCAGGCAGCAGTACGGTGATAAAGATTGAGAAGGGTGTTGTCAGTCTGTACGAGACAGCGGGCAAGAGCGAGGAGACTTGTTTGATCGTGGATCTGACCCAGCGCCCCAAGTTCCAGGTGAGGAGTGGGAGGTGATGGGTCAGAGAACGTCAACATGAGGGCTTTACCTTATACGGGGAAACCCTTAAACACCCCTGATTCTACAGATCTTCTGATCTGTTTGTTTCTATCATGTTGTAGTCTGCAGAACTGTTTGGGGGTTTCCTTGTCTGAGGTGGCTTGCTTTCTGAGGCATGTTCGCTAATGTGGCCATCCGTAGGCCGATCGGACGTACGACAGAGACCGCCTTGGGCTGATACTGAGACGATTACCGTTACCGTTGCAACGGCGATTGTTGCCGGCCGCTCCAAAGAAACCTTACGCGCGGAGGTGATCGTCGAAGAACGGTTTCTCAAGGAAGTCACCTCAATCAATGAGAAGACTAAGAGCCCTGGAGCCTACATGGACGCCAGATTTTCCAATTTGCCTGTGTTATCCTAGTGTAGTCTGTAGACCTGTCGGGTCTTTCCTTGTGTGAGGTGGTGTTATCGAAAGGCTAAGCAATGGGGCTAAATCGATATCGCGGGGGACATCGCGGAATACAGTTAATGCAGTGTAGTCAATATCCTTCACAAGAGCGCCGTACATGTGTAGTATTCTGAGGCCAAATGTGATAATGAGCCTGAAATGGAGTTTAGTGCCAACCCGCGTTGGGAGTGCGAGTGTCCAGTCCATAACAAAAGCGACGCTCGTCACACATGACGCATCTGGGATCATATTGCGCGCACAACATCACGATCATCAGCACACCAGAAGTCATTTGTTGTGACCCAGCAAGTGTTTCCATTTAGCACTGCTCAGATCTAAACCATCATGAATCGATTCCTTTCATTCCCATTTACAGACCCAAAGCGCCATGAATGAGAGGTAGGTAGGTATCCGGTAACGTGAAAAGAACACCACCCATAGCATCCCTCGTTTGCAGACGTGCTTCGCTTAGAAGACTGGTCGCTCGCTTCCCGCCATGTGCGAAATTCCCAATGTAGTCGCTCGTTTCGTGTGTGGTAGGTTGTCGGCGCAGTAACAAGGAGTAGTTGGGAATCGAGAATCGAGTGAGGGATGGTTCGTCGGGGGCGATACGCTTAGATACCGAGACGAGTCTTGCGCCAGTGTCGGCGCTTGGCGTTGTACCTGTGGGCGGAATGTCAGTCTCGTGCTCTCATCATCATATTCTCGTGTCCTCGTCGTCTCTAGTGACGGAGATCGGAAGCGGCGAGAGCGTGCGGATCGTGGGTAGAGCGTACCTGATGGTGTTGCCGGTCCTCAGGCGAATCCACTGGGGGATGGGGCGGTTCTGCTTCTGCGCCTTTGCAAGCTTCTGCTTGGTGCGGAAGGACTTTTGGGACTGCGAAAGTGTCAGTAGGTGGCTATGCAGTGCGTCGCAGCCGCGGGCGGTGATATCATACCGGCATCTTGACTGCTTGTTGTGAGTAGTCGGATGTCGAAAGGTGTTGTCGATGTCGGAAAAAAGCCAGGAATATTGATCGATGTTGGTGCGCTTGGCGGGCGGCAAGCAGAAACGGCTAGACTGTGTTGGGCGCGCTAGCGGGGGTTTAGCGTCATTGCCGTCTCAAACGCGCAGGTGCGCTCACCAGCAACATCGACATTTCGCTGCTCCAGATTTTTGAAGTGCGCAGAAGGGCTGAAGTCTTAGTTGAAAGCCACGGTGCACTTGTTTTGACAGGGAAGCTGTCTTCCACCGTCCTTCGCGGGTTGCGTTTGACTTCGTGGTTCGGCGCTGCGGCATCATCACGCTCAACTGGCACGCATAGCCAGCATTGCGCAAAGTCGCAGAGTGTCATCTCTGACTCCATCATGGCACCTCATGTATCCTTTGGCCTATCAGCCGAGTTCTGATTAGTAGAAGCAGGTTCGCATCCAATCATGCGACTTTACAGCAGTTGACCACGCCTCCCCCGCTTCTCACATGACTTCTCAGGGAAAGGAGCGATGCTCTGAAACGTCAGCTTAAGAGTCTGGATGGTAGCTGCTATTAACATTGACTTCATAAACTCTAACTACTTCAAAAGTCCAGCTCAGCAACTGATTTGTTACAACCAGGCGTCCTATCACAATACTCGCTCCAAGAACATTTCATAAACTTGGTCGCATAATCACGTACCGCAGATATGGAACCGAAAGGTGTGAAAGGTAGGAGAGCTGCTCACCATCTCCGTATATTTCCAGACGATGTCGTTAAGAAAGAGTAGAAAATGCAGCATTACAAGACACCCATGCAGCAGCGGCTGCCACCATACTCAAACTTCCAGACCAAATCACGGCCTCGGAATCATCTTCTCGTCCTCCTCAAACAAAAGCCACTCGTCGCCTCCGCGCGGTCAAAGCACACCTCGCCCCTCCCACACGCTACACGGTCTATGCAAAAGACCCTAAGAACATAGCCCAAGTGGCCGCCACGCGAGCGTGGCTCGACACTATCGTGTACGACACGTTGGCAATAGAAGATCGATACAGCTTATACTCGATTTGGGAGGACACGCTGGAGGAAGAGATAGAAAAAGCCGACGCGGAAGGCAGGTTTGATCAATGGTTAGATGAAAATGAGGTTGTAGATCATTGGACGGGGTGTATGCTCGATGAGGAAGGGGCGAGGCTGGTGGCGGCAAAGTCGGAGTGGATCATGGGAATTGATGGGACGCAGCATCGTGAGTGTAAGATGTGATGAGACGGAATGTGTTGGGCAAGAGAGAATTTGTTGGGGTACACAAATGCTATGGCAAGGTGGAAGATACATGCTTATTTCAGCATATCACTGCATTGTTCCGATACATGTGGAAGAGGAACTCGATGATTCTAACATGGTCGGTGAATTCCATCACTCCAAATTTCCGGAAAGCCTAGAACAAGTACGCTCTTACGCGATAGTCCGCGTATGGTGTCCTTGGAGCATCGAATAGTGAAGAGGACCGGGTGCTGCGCTGCTTCATGAGGATGCAGCAAACGACGGATTCGAATTGTGACAGATGAGCATGAGCCACTGCCCGATGAAAGCTCGGTCGACTCGTGTCGCGCAGTGATTCATGAACCTTCTGGGGAAAACATTGAGGGTGCTGTTCTAGGAGCATTATGGTGAATTCACTTACTAGCGTGGCGCTACGGAACAGGCAACTGCGTCCCGAGGTCGTCGCCATTTCCACACCCGCCCTCAATTACCAGCATTGAATCCCACATTCAAAATAGCGCATCCCGACCCCGGCGCACCCAGTGGTGCTTGGTCGCAGTCGTTGCGGTAATGGCTTCAAACTTTCTGTAAGGCGCATCGACACGATATCCGCGACGTTTCTAACAGTCTTGACAGGACCATGGATCTCGACACAGTCACCGTGCGCGTCGGCGAAGCTGAATCAGCAGTCAATATCACCGTCTACCGCAATTTACTATCCGATGTCTCACCTTACTTTCGCGGCGCTTTCGAGGGTTCCTTCGTGGAAGCCGCTGATCGCTTCATATCCCTGACAGACGTCACCGAGCAAACTTTTCGTATGTTTCTACAGTGGGTACATACCCAAGTTCATCAGCACTCAAGTGGCGCTACCATTCCTTCACCTGTGATACTTCTTCCCGGATCAACAGCAAAGAATGCTGGCAACACTACCACGGCTCCTGTAGAGCTACAGCCCCCGCATCATACGCAAAGCGTTCCAGACGCCGGATTTCTCCCAGATGATATATCAGCACTCGACGAGATGGGCGGCCATCAAAAGCGATGGGATATCAAAGAGATAGAAGGGCTACAATTGAAGGGATCGGAATGGATCAACGGATACCGCTTGTCGTTGCTTTCTTTCCTGCGTCTTTACGTCTTTGCCGACAAATACAACGTGCCCCAGCTACGAGATGACGTTTTGACCGCCTTGACCGCACAGTCAATCTCATGGTGGTGGTGGCCTGGTGTTGACCGAGAACTGATGGAGTCTGCATACGCAACTCTGCCGCCATCATCCAAGTTCATTCGCTTCTTGGTCCTGTCCACAGCTTACTGTTGGCTCTCGGAGCCTGGGAGCTGCAGCGCTACTAGAGTGCGTGCAATGAAGGAGATGAATGAAGTCCTTGCTTTCGACGTCATGGTTGTCCAAAACGAGAGGCTCAAAGAGACAGAGTCGTCGGAGGGTATGCCGTTTTGGCTGGAGGACGCCATGCCAAATTCTTGCACCTTGCAAGAGCACCTAGCACGAGACGCAGCGAAATGCCGAAAGCGGATTCGTGAACAGCCATACATCTTCATCGGGCTCATCGAGATGTGCGCGCAAGACGCCTTGTCCATGGCGAAAGAGTCTGACGAGGAGTAACCGCACCTAAGGAAAAAGACTAAACAGGTGCGCGGCATCTACACTACTTCGAAATTCCAAGTTAACAGTACCCCAGAGTAAGGCAGAGGTCGAGGAAGTCGGTGTTCAGCTTTTCGTTTGCATGTGGTGAAAAGGTGGGGAAGGCATCCTGGGGTACACACTACCTAGGTAGCGCTGATGAATGACCAAGACATTCGTGTCAAGGGTTCAAATTTCGACGCCGGCCTCTGGAGATGATAAACAGCCAAGACAGGAGTTTGAGACCTGGAACGACGCTACTGTACCGGCGTGGGGATGAGTACATTACTTGAGACTGCCGGTCAGTGTGGGTCCCCGCCAAAAAATGGGCACAGAACGGCCAGGAGGCTCAACTTCATGAAGTCAGGTCCCAACGGGAGATTCCAGCTGACAAGCGAATGAAAGTAATGTTCCAGAGGGGCTCAATGTGACTGCGTGAAACATAAGACACGAAACTATAGTCGAAATCTTGCAGCGATGTCTCGGCTGTTCGACCCCAGATTGCTAGTGTGGCGCTATGGCCACAGCTAAAGTGGATGCAGGCGCAAGGATTCTGGGCCTCAGAAATGTCGATCCCGTCTCCGAACCAGGACCCTCTTGTTTCGGCGAACCTACTCGTCGCATTCGCGCACGCGTCGGCGGTACCACGGTTGGTCATGTCTCTTGGGCGTTGACACCGGCTGAAGTGCTTCACGGCATCTTCTTTTAACTCTTCGCATCGCCGCGCTTTTCATCTCAAGTCTGTTTGGCCGGCGCGCGCATTTACCCGTCCAAGTCTTTTCCCGTAGTCCATCGCGGTGCGCCATAGCGATAAGAGAACGACACCAGGTTGGCTCATTGTCTTTGTCGCGTCGACGCGCAGGAATTTGATTCGAAGGAATTGGCCCTCTAATCACGCCTCTCCAGCGACTGCATTCCAATCGCAGCCATGACAGACTATGGCTCCACACCACCGCCCAAGTCGCCCTCTCCGGTGACAGTCCCACGCTCCTCGAGCCTCCCGCGCCTGGCCAGCTCCAAGCTCTTCCTCCCGCTGCAGAACGATGCTTCGGCGATATCTACGCGCGGGCACCACCTCCCCTCGCTCCTCAACAGCGCCCGTCGACCGTCCACTATACGCAGCAGTGAGCGCCGGGGCAGCGACACGGACGATGAAGACCTGGAAGCATACAGAAACGGGCTCGTGATGCCTTACGACCGAGACTCCGATCGGAGGAGCAGCATAGGTGCGCATGTGCTCAACACGCCGCAGATGAGGAGCCAGCGGCTGATTGGCAACTCCAATCCCCGGTACAAGTGGGAGAAGTACTACAAGTCAGAGGAAGAGCTCAAGGGCATGAAGAAGCCGATCCGCGAATACTATGAGCGCAACAACCAGCTCCTGCAGCACTACCTATATATCGACCGTCTACTCGACTCCTCCCTCCCACACAACCTCATCCAAGAGTACACGAACATGGAATCTGGCGCCGTCAAGATTCCCTCAACTATCAGAGAGGAGTCTTCGGCCTCGACTTCTCCCCTCGCTGTTACCCCCGCTGGTACAAATGGCACCAACACACCCGGATACTATAGTGAGAACGGGCGAAGTGGTTCATCAGGCAGTCTCAACGGCAATGGCGCGCAAAAGCCCATGGTCAAGCGCACACCAAAGAACCTCTACAAAGTCCCCGAAGCAGACGAAAACACGCCTCTGCTCGCACACGACGAGGCCGTAGAAGACGAAGAAGACCTAGAGGCTGCAAACTCCAAATTGAAGGACTGGGTCCCGGAAGAAGACGAAGACACCGAAAGCCCCATCGTCAAGCTTGCACTATACGTCAACCTCAGCGCAAACACGGCCCTCCTGATCATGAAGATCGTCGTCACAGTTCTTACCTCGTCCCTCTCCGTAGTCGCCAGTTTGGTCGACGCAGCCCTCGACTTCCTCTCCACGGCCATCGTATGGTTCACATCCTGGATGATCGCGCGTCAAGACCGCTACGCATACCCAGTTGGCCGCCGCCGTCTCGAACCCATCGGCGTACTCATCTTCTCCGTCATCATGATGACATCCTTCTTCCAAGTCGGCATCGAGGGCATTT